TCACTTTCAGAAAGGTTAATGAGGGTGAAATGTTAGAGGGAGTGGTCTACGACTGCTTTAAATCAGTATAGATTAAAAATCAGAGTCACGATTAGATTTTAAGCAAGATGACTTACATATGTAGTCAGAATTACTGAATCCATTTGGACCAATATAGGTAAAGTCACCAGACGCATTTAGACCATCTTCATTTAGTATATTGATATTAAATAGTCACCATAAGTCTAAAACTGCTTCCATAGTAGTGACAACATTGTCCTTGTTAACGCGGGGTGGGAGGAGGGTGTTGAGGTGGCATCGTGCATACATAAAATCTTCAAGAGGCAGGAAGTCGATGCTGTCATCTTCGATATGATCCAGCTCTGCTACCAGTTCTGGCGTTTAAATCACCACATAGCAAGATGTCACTGTCTGGATAGTCAGTCTTGAGGTCAGCCAGACGAGTCTCAAGAGTCTCTATTCCATCACAGTAGTATTCAGCTGGCTTTCTGGCTAAATGTAGATGAACAGCAGTATCACTACAGAATTATTTATAGTTAGGGTATTTTACTGATAAAACAAACACAGTCGCTCAGTGGGGCTTGACTCTAGAAAATAGATCACTTAGGTGTGCCTGAAAGGTATACAGCGACACCACCACTATACCTTCCAAAGTGTTTTTACTTTAGGGAATAATACACTGAAAACATTTATATGATATAAACGCATTTACAAAATCCTCAGTGTTCTTTGCAGGCCCAAGTTTCTAATAAACATATGATATCGAATTTTATTTAAGAAGGTAATGAAATCAGGGTTACTTAACTTATTATGTAACCCATTGATCGCTCCATGATACCAGGGGAAGTACAGGTATCTTACATCAGTTGTTTGGTTCTTAGGGTTTGGAAATTGAGGTGAAACGTCCATTAATATCATCTTGAGGGTTCAGGGTCAAGGCCGTTGTGTCCTATTTGCTGGTAACGGGTCCCGAGGGTGGGGTCTGGAGGCACGCCTCTACACCGTTGCTATCATTACGGTTAACGATCATCGCACCTGTATGTCACCTTCTCAATGACCAGTTTATCCTCAACTAGATAATGCAGCCTTCCCTTCCTCCTCGTGCTTGTACCATGAAAGGGATTAAAAAGTTTCTTTATAGCGCGAGTCAGATGACTGAAATCTTGTGAGACTCTGTGTGTTTTACTGCCTTTTAAGACATGTCCTAGCTGCAGCAAGAATAGTGTCTTTATCGCCCTCGACTTACAAACTTTGCTATGATTGGTGCCATTGAAGTTTTAGTTTTAAGTCTATGGGCCTATTAATCCGGAACATTATAGAAGAAGCGTCTGGTATCTCAAAGTGTATCCGATATGAAATCTCGAATATGGATCTGAGAGTCGTAGGAGACTCCTTGGCTTCACCTGGAATACCAAAAAATAGAAGGTTGTTTCTTCAGAATATGATTCAGGACCTGTCTACCATGTCTTCTAGTGTCTGTATCCGGCCATTGATCCTCAACAAGTTTTCTGAGGTCTATGCCATCACTTTGACCTCAGCAACATCTTCTTCTATTTTCCTAGAGCGAATATCCATTTTCTTAGAAAGTTCGGTCATTTCAGTCTTCATACTGGAAACATTTTTGTTTAATTCAGCAATTTGTTTTGTAAGTTCCGATAGAGCATTAGTTGTAGCAGTGGTTGCGTTATTTAAATCATCAGTGTCGCATGGGTTGGTGGAGTGTAGTTTGGCGTTTTACGTCCGTCAATTGGACCAGGATTACTTTCACGTCGCTGGTCCCTAAGTAGAGTATTTGTAAACACAAGCGTCACCCAGAAAGTAGGTCACTGGGGCGACATTAGGACAAGTCATGCTTTCGGTGCAGTGAGTGAAGCACATGATATCCGGATTGCATATTGATGGAAAGGTACAAAATGGTTCTGAAATCTGTCTATAAACTCACCAATATGTCCTGAATAGTTGTTTCCAGCGACTGCAAAGCTAATATCACCCGTGAGCACAACGAAACAGAATATATCCTGTAAGCGGAAGTTCATGCAGGAGTCCATGTTGTGGAGTCACAATAGTCCACGTCGATGTGACAGACTTGTTTATGTCCAGACGGGGTGGAAAAACACCGATTTTGCATCTCCATACCTCAGTCGTTATCCCCATGATTTCCGATGTACACTGCCCTATTATTGCCGTTGGATGTGTCCTTTGACGTTGGATTTTGTTGAAGGAAAGTTAAGAGAGGCAAAATATCGCTGACTGTATTTTCTCACGCATGCGCATTTCATCCACTATGATTCAAGCATGATAAGCCAGACTTGAAAGCGTGTCATGAAGCTCTGTAAAACACATGAGCTAGTACAATGTGGTGCATAGTACCACGCACAGGTGTGGACATATCATTGACTAGGTTCTTACTACGGAGAATTCATCATTGATACAGAGAATTCAAGTAGATGATGTGTCGTTGTCTGACCACTCTCCTGTAACAATCGAACTAAACCTTAAGAGGCCTAAAGCACAAACAGAACTAATCTCCTGTAGGAATACTTGGAAGATAGACAAGAATGTCTTCCGTCAAGATCTAGAAGAGTCAAATCTTGTACACTGACCTGGACGAGTTGTGTGATCGTTACAATAAAACTCTATCGCCTTTGCTTGAAAAGCACGCTCCAGTCACAGTGAAACAGATTTCAGTTAGGAAATCATCTCCATGGTACGGTGATGAGATTCTTCAGGCAAAGAGAGCTAGGCCATGCAGAAAGGTTGTGGAGGAAACCAAGTTGGAGATTAACAGGCAGATATACTGTTTCGAGAGAAACAATGTCACTAAGGCTATCCGGCTTAGCTAAAGCTAGGTATTGCTTGAATAAGATAACAGAATCTGCCACCACCTCTGGTGTACTTTATGACTTTCTATTTTCTTTATTGGGCAAGACCAAAGGATAGTACACTCCCAAAGTCAGAGGATTCAATGGCTTTGGCAAACACTTTAAGTCATTATTTTGTTGAGAAAATAGAGAAGATTGGGACATTTCTAGATCTGCAGTCATGTGTTACACCTGAATTATCACAGAAATTCCAAGGTAAACATATTGCCTCTTTCAAATTATTCACAGATGCTGAGATTTTTACATATCATCAAAACCTCTAAACCCACAACTTGTGCACTGGATCCTGTTCCCACAAAGCTGATTTTTTTACAATATTGATATTCTTTTGCCTGTCATGACCAGACTGGTTAATCTCAGCTTGTCAACTGGCAGTGTACCAACGGCCTTCAAGGAAGCGGTTGTCAAGCCCTTACTGAAGAAATCGAACTTGGATAGTGCATCTGTGGAAAACTATAGACCAGTGTCAAATCTCCCATTCTTATCTAAGGTCCTTGAGAAGGCTGTTAAGTGCAGGTTATCTGCTCATCTTCTTCAAAATGACCTCTTTGGCAAGTATCAATCTGCTTATAGAGCTTCCCACAGTAAGGAAACAGCTCTGTTATGTATCATGAATTACCTTCAGAATGCTGCGGACAATGGCCAAGTTGGTCTCCTTGTACTATTAGATTTGTCTGGGGCATTCGATACAATCGACCATTCAACATTGACACACCAGCTTGAATATCAGTTTGGAATAACCGGTGTAGCCCTGGGGTGGTTCACATCATATCTCTCTGATAGATGTCAAACAGTACACATATCCAATGTGTCTTCACAAGGAGAGTTTCTATCTTTCGGTGTACCCCAAGGATCCATGCTTGGTCCTCTCTTGTTCACGGTGTACATCATGGCTCTTGGTGATTCTATCGAGGCGCAAGGTGTTGATTATCATGGCTATGCAGACGACATGCAACTTCTGAGAACATTTGCAGTCAGAGACTCCCAGAATGCTATCTCCCATCTAGAGGAGTGTACTATTACCAGCAAGTCATGGCTGACTTGTAACAAACTGAAGATGAATGATGGAAAAACTGAAGCAATCATTTGTTGGAAAAAACCCAGAAAACACATCCTTTTGTAGACAGGGACATTTCTATTGGTAATGCTAACATACAGTTCTTTTCTGCTGTCAAAAACCTTGGTGTTTTGATTGACTCTGATCTGCAAATGGAGAGCCAGGTTACCAACACTTGCAGAAGCTGCTATCACCATCTTCGCAACATTGTCACATTCGACAAATGCTCTCCAGAGCAGAGGAGCCACTTGTGTCCTTGTACGCTCGTTAGTCCAATCCCGTTTAGACTACTGCAACAGTCTGTATTATGGCTTGCCAGAGAGACTCCTCACAAAGCTGCAGACGGTGCAGAACACTGGTGCAAGGATCATCAGCAGAACAAAGAAGCGTTTTCACATCACGCCTGCCTTGAAGACCTTGCATTGGCTGTCAGTACGAGCAAGAATAGAATTTTAGACTCTCACACTTGCTTATCAATGCTTTCACTCAACTGCGCCAAGTTATCTAACTGACCTACTCTCCAAGCACAGTCCTGTGAGAACATTAAGATCAGGAAATCTCCATCTTCTGGAGATACCAAAACGCCATCTGAAGTCATTTGGCTACCGCTCTTTTAGCTATGCTGCTCCTTTTCTCTGGAACTCTGTTCCCCATGATATTAGACTGTCACCAACCCTAGAAAACTTCAAATCTCATTTAAAGACATTCCTTTTCCGAAAATACTATCACTGCTAGATTTCTGCATTCCTACTCATTTTAAATACCGTGTATATACTCATCATAGCGCTTAGAGAAGACACTTAGTGCCTGGAGTATTTTAGCGCTTTATAAATTCACTAATTATTATTAATTATTAATTAGTTTCTGCAGATTGTTTTGTATTTCTTGGTTGGCTGTAAACATCAAAACAGTGCCTCCTGGTTTGTATGTTTCTCCACAAGAATTTCCTATCAGGATGCAAAGTTTTCACCCATATTTTCATCACATATAACATAAGCTACCTCACAATCTCATTACAGTTCAAACAGAGTCCCTCACACACTCATGTCAGTATTACAAACCTTGTCCCGAGCACAGATCTGCATGACCCCCTCAACAGGGATGACCGGAAAACTTCATGAAGCGGTTGTGATCAAAGTTGTTCTTAATGCCCAGCATGTGACAATCTCGAGAGCAAAGTAATCCCACTTGTCAACATCAATACCATTTCTCTTGTTGGCAACAATCTGGAAAAAAATATACAATTAACAAGTTCAATTATTGCACAGCATAAACCCACACATGAAGACTGTTCTATAATCCCAATTAGGCTGTCTTAATGCGATATTAATATACTGGGAGAAACAAAGAAACACATGAAAATTCAATTGTTCCTTTAATATTTTCCATTTTCCTTACCAGCTTTGAATAGCTCTGTGAGAGGAAATCTGAGAATATATAAAGGCACACTGATATGAAGTGGTGTTCCCTTATTTGTTTCCCTCAGTATATTTATGTCAGAGAATGGGAGTCATAGTTGTCAGAGTTACGATTGCTTTGTGGAATGATGCCTTGTACTGTTACAGCGAAATGAAATTCAGTGGTCAAAAGGTTAAGCAGAGTCATGGTAGTCAAGCTAAAGTGAGTAAGTGAGTGAGTTTTGGTTTTACACCACTTTTAGCAATATTCCAGCAATATCACAGCAGGGGACACCAGAAATGGGCTTCACACATTGTGCCCATGTTGGGAATCGAACCCGGGTCTTCAGTGTGACAAGCAAACGCCTTAACCACTACGCTACCCCACCGCCCCTAGTCGAGCTATAAGGTCACTAATGCAGGCTGAGTGAGTGAGTGAGTGAGTGAGTGAGTGAGTGAGTGAGTGAGTGAGTGAGTGAGTGAGTGAGTGAGTGAGTGAGTGAGTGAGTGAGTGAGTGAGTGAGTGAGTGAGTGAGTGAGTGAGTGAGTGAGTGAGTGAGTGAGTGAGTGAGTGAGCGAGTGATCGAGTGATCGAGCAAGAGAGTTCAGTTTTACGCTGCTCTCAGCAATATTCCAGCTTTATGGCAGCAGTCTGTAAATAATCGAGTCTGGACCAGACCATGTAGGCTGAAGACAACAGCATGAACTAGTTCCACTGCTGGTTCTCATAGCAAACATAGTGCTTTCAGTGTACAGAACACAGCAAAATATGTATCAATCTGTATATCTGTATGCATGTGTTCATCTGTAACATATGAATTTCAATAAACATGGAGATATCTCTGCATCTAAGGAGATTGTTTCTGGTCATTAAATTGTATGAGAAACAGCTCTCCTGGTCTTAATTTTGCAAGATCACTGTATACTTCAAAAATATATACTTACTTCATACAGGAATCTTTTTTCTTTGGTTCTCCCTTGGTAAGGATAAACCTGGAATATCATGAAATGATACAACAGACATTCTCAAAAAGTCTAAAATATAGACTTTCAGCATTACAGTGTCGGAAACAGTGTATTTTCATTCCATTATTGGAGTGAGTTGGTGGAGAGGTTTTATCGCTGCTTTTAACATCTTTCAGGGTGTGAGTTTAGTTTTACGCCGCACACAGCAATATTCCAGCTATATGACAGCAGTCTGTGAATAATCGATTCTGGACCAGACAATCCAGTGATCAACATCATGAGCATCGTTCTATGTGATTGGGATACCATGACATGTGTCAACCAAGTCAGCGAGCCTGACTGGCCCGATCCCCGTTAGTCAGCCTCTTACGACAAGCATGGGTTGTTGAAGATCAATTCTAACCCGGATCTTCATGGGTAGAAAGGAAAGCTCAAAGTGGTGCAAGGAGTTATGTTATCACTTTGGTGAAACACATGGTATGAAAAAAATTAGGATCACAATCAGATCTAATTCATCAGTCATACCCAAGAACACTTGATCAAGCATGACAAAAATCAAAATCTGTATAGTGAGTTGCAGCAGTATTACACAGCAGTTCTTAGCTTCAAATATTGCATTATATTCTTTCAAAACTCAACAGTTTGCGTAAGTTCTTCTTCCGGGGGGCCCTTGATTTGTTCCTTGATAAAGATGCGGTCAGTTTCAGTCAAACCAAACTGTGCAAACACAGATTCCAGGCTGTTCTCCTTTACCAAGTGATCAAACATTTCTACAGAAGCGTCTTCATGCTGCAGCAGAAACAATATTTTAGAATATGACAAATTATCAATTTCAGAATGTCACTGCTCAAATGGAACTGATTATGAAGATGGCTAAAATGAAATTGAAATAATAAGTATCAAAGGTAATCTCAATATCACAGCGGGGGACACCAGAAATGGGCTTCACACATTGTCACCATGTGGGGAATCAAACCCCGGTCTTCAGTGTGACGACTGAACACTTTAACTACTAGGCTACCCCACCGCCCCTTGAGTCATAAAGATCTAATCTTATCTTACTTAAACACTTAGTCAATAGCATTTCATCACCCCGTAACAACTAAACCAGTGAAATCTCACCCAGCAACAACTGAAGCAAAGAAATCTCACCAAGTGACAACTGAAGCAAGGAAATTTCACCCAGTAACAACTTAAACACTACAATTTCACCCAGTAAAAACTAAAGCAAGGGGAATTCACCCAGTAACAACTGAAGCAAGGAAACCTCACCTAGTAACAACTGAAGCAAGGAAATTTCACCCAGTAACAACTAAAACACTACAATTTCACCCAGTAACAACTAAAGCAAGGAAATCTCACACAGTAACAACTGAAGCAAGGAAATCTCACACAGTAACAACTGAAGCAAAGGAAATCTCACACAGTAACAACTAAAGCAAGGAAATCTCACACAGTAACAACTGAAGGAAGGAAATCTCACACAGTAACAACTGAAGCAAGGAAATCTCACACAGTAACAACTGAAGCATGTAATTTGAATGAGATGTCGGAGCTGAGGAAGACGTATCATCTTGAATTTTGCTGGTCTGCGTAGATACCCCGGTTGAACTTCCTCATGTTGTAGATGAGCGGAAATTTCTCCTTGGAATTCTTCTTCGGTACCAGGAAAATTGGGGAGTAGAACCCGGGCGTGATGAGATCTTGATCTATCTCTTCTACTGCCTCCTTGTCAAGTAGGATCTTGATAGCGTCATCCAGTTTCTCTATCTGGTCGGCTGCATAGTTGAAGGCCATCGGATTGCTTGTGAGCTGCGGGTTGGCCTCCAACTGTATCTTGTACCCTCTGCGTAGTATCTGGGACACGTAGTCGTCTTGTAGGATTCCCCAATTTTCCCAGTATCGTTGAAGACGTCCACCCACTGTCGAAGGTTGTACAGGAACGGCTTTGGGTGGAAGACTCCAGTCGTTCCGAACCTGGCCTTCAGCGCTTGATTCCTCCTGCACCCCTAGGTGCTCGGCCTCTTCCAGGGTTACCTCTACGAGCTCAGGTTGGGCGACGAAAGGAGCCTCTTCCTCCTTTCATGCTGGAATTCTTCTTTTCTCTGGCTCTCTGGACTCCTGCAAACTTGGATTTGTTGGAGTAGAGTTGGGATGTCTGACGAATCACATTAGCCAAGGTGTCGATGGATTTAATCATCATAACCTCCCTTGAGTCATGAGAAATTTCTCTGGCGACTTCAATTCTTCCTCCGAAGATGTAAGATGCTGAGCATGGGGCTCTGTATAAGGACTTGGTGAAGCGTTCACTCCAAGTGCATGCTGACAATAATCCTTGTCTTTTCAGGAGAGTCAGGCCGCTGATGTGGATGCTAGGTGCTCCGACATAAACTGATGGTCCCTCTTCTGCATTAGTAGAGCGGAGTATATCATCTGGTCTTCTTCGCCGAAGGAGTTCTTGAACTTCGAGATGAGTGTTTCGTTGATAGCCCTCGATCTGGCTAATCCGAGAAGAAGGTGCGTCTGGTGGTTGTATCCAGCCTGGCTAACTTCTTATCCTCAATCTTGTAAGTTCTCTGACGGAGTCGGTGATAATCTTGTAGTCATCATCAACCTCTGGAGCCTTCAGGAAGGGTTCCATCCTATGTAGAGGGAATTTCCTGGCGTTGAGGTTATCTGGTACTTGAGAGATCGAGTCGATCGGGTGGAAAAGTGAGCATGTCGAAATCATCGTTGGACATCTTGTAGGTAAACGCCTCATCTGTGTCCTTAGAAGGTGATGCTAAGTCCAAGCCATTGTGATCCAGGAGTTAACTTCCATTATCAGAGAATATGCCTTCACCTTCCTCCTCTGATTTGGACATCTCTGCTCTCTATGGATCCATGACGACTTGAGTCTCTATGGGATGATCTGTATGATGATGAGCTTCGTGAGGCGGCGATCCCGATGCGATTGTGTATCCTTCCTGGAGGTTTGAGATGATTCTCTAGGTCGCCGCGTGAAGGTGGGTTTCTGGACGTAGCTTCCCCTCTGTAGGAGTGCCTTCGCGAAGGTTCTCGAGGGGCGTCAGAGTCCGATGGTGATGAAGATTCATATCTGCGACGTCTGTGGGGTTCAGGAGAACGCCTCGATTTCTTCCTGCGTGGAGACTTCTTAGCAGCAATCTCTGGAGCGTCTACGGCTGAACTGATGTTGGTAGCGGTGTCCAGACTCCTCACTTCAGATGGGGAAGATCGTCGAGTCCATGAGCCTTCGCGCAGGCTTCCCTCTTCATCCGGATGCGGTGGAGAGATTGTAGAACCTTCACGCAGGCTAGTAGTCGTTGTAGAGGTCTTCATAGCAGCCTTCTCCTGAGCGAAGCGACGTTTCATCAACATCATCTGGTCTGTAAACTGTTGCATGAACAGTCCCGGGTTGAAGTTCTGCGTTGTCTGAAGAGACTGCTGCAGGGATGATGCATCTGATACTGAAGAGACGTCATCTAAGGCTGGCTGCACTTGTGAAGAGTTGACGCTGCTGCTATCTCTGGTACCCGATGTCTGCGTTGATAGAAGGTCTGCTGTCAATGTCTGCGCTGATAACGATGCCGATGTAGCTGTAGAGGCAGACTTCGTCTTCTTACTGACAATGGTGACTTCAGGTATGAGGATGGGTGGATCATCATAAACGTCTGCTTCTTCCGGAGGAAAAATCTCGGCTGAGAAAGACCTCGTCTTCTGCGTGGAGCTGAGCATAGACTTCAATGAAGTCTTCATGGTAGTAGCCTTCTTCTTCTGCGTAGAAGACGATTTAGCCTTCTTCATCTGCGACGAGGTCAGCTCAGTAGACGATGATCTCTTATATGGCCTCCGGCGTTCACCACTGGTACAGCGACCTGCTCCTGAGAAACATTCGGCAATTCACTGGAATTATGAATATCTGCAGCAGTGGTTAACACACGGTTATCAGCGCAATCACTCGATTTAGACATGACTTGTGGATACCTTCGTACCCAGTCCTTAGCACGTCTATGGATGGACAAAAAGGTAATTAGTAAATTCAACAGAGGTTAAATTTACACAAAACTTACAGCAAGAGCTGAAAGAACATGAAATAGTGCAATTAGGACATAATAAATGAGGGTACCTACAACGAATACAGGTTTTCATCAAATGTAAACACAATGAAAACACATGTCAAACAACGGAAAATTTAGATCAAATTTCAAACCATAATGTAGACTATAATCCTAAAAAACGTATACAGCAATAATTTTGATGTAAGGTCCGAAAATATAAAAGGATATGTGCCGTATAGGGACCCAGGTGCTCTCACAACCGTCCTCAAGGACGAAGGAGGTGAGAGTGACAAACATGGCTGGTCATGTGACCAAAAAGGGCGCCAAAAGGGAGGAAAGGGAGACTACTCGTGGGTGAGTGATTTTACATCTGCTTTTTTAGAAGGGAACTTCAAGGGATTTCAAGTGTTCCACTATCATTCGCAAGAGGAAGGCGACAAGCATAATTAGCATGAGTCAGGAAAAGGAAAAATAAGGAAATCTCACCCAGTAACAACTGAAGCAATAAAATTTCACCCAGTAGCAACTAAAGCAATGAGATATCACATAGTAGCGACTGAAGCAAAGAAATCTCACCCAGCAACAATTGAAGCAAGGAAATCTCACCCAGTAGCAACAGAAGCAAGAAAATTTCGCCCAGTAACAACTGAAGCAAGGAAATTTTACCAAGAGACAACGAACATTGACATTTCACCCAGTAACAACTAAATCAACGAAATGAGTGAGTGAGTGTTCCTAATCACATTGTCAACATTTCAGACATACCGTGACTAACATAAAGTTTTACATTAAGGAACACGACATAGACAAGTACAGGAAGGCAGGTCATAGAACATCAGGTACTACTTACCTTCCACTCTGCTCCTGACACTAGAGGCTAATAAAATCCCGATCAAAGAGATGTGAGAAGGGACCATGTCCTAGAAGAAACAGCAAAATAAACATATTCAAATACCATCATTGATATTAAATAAAAACATGAACCATAAGACCCAGCATAGCGAAACCACATATGCTTTCCCTGTCAACTAATCATTAACCATTATGCAGGGTTGTCAACTGACACAGAATCTTGCCACAACCTGAAACAATTTTGGGACAGGGAAGAGATTAAATACCTGTAAATGTCTTAATACTAAAATTGATGCAAAGATGTTGTGGTGAAAACGTAGTGCACCCCTATTGAGATAACTTTGTTTACAAATTATTTTGGTTGAAAACAAATAAAAAAAAACATTCTAAAATAGGCAATTCGATACACATGGTCTTAAAGTTACAACTTACAGTAATGAAATACACAATGCCATTTTAAAAAGTCGTCAAATGTAACATATGTTACATTTGGGATTACACTTTCTTAGTAAAGTACAGATTCTGTACTAGAAGAAACAAAAGTACTAGAATCTGTACTTTACTAAGAAAGTGTAATCCCAAATATAACATATGTAACATACAGTAAGTTGGTTTACCGAGCAACCTTAGACTAAGTACAGTGCTACAAGCTGGTGCATGTGATAAATGCTCCCATTGTTTGAATGTTATTTGGACATGGTGAACTGAGGTTGCATCCAGTCACACACTGTAAGAACCTTTCTGTATCAGCTTCAAACAGACCTAGAATATCACAAGACATGTGCCTGATGTGATTTTGATCATATGTCAGAAGCTTTGGAACCAAATGAGCAGACACTTTCTAAATTGCCAAAATTTCTGTGGTTACTGAAATGCCAACTTAATGAGCAACATAAAGCTTGTGTTTCCCCTCGGCCTTTTTTACCTGGGGTAGCACCCTGTCCTCTCAATTGGGCACCCTGCCCTTCTTTTAATACCATAATTGATATTAACACTTGGTGGTTTTCAGATTCTATTTCAGGCCAGACCAATTTGATTTCTTGTTTTACGGATCCGCCAGTCGTATATTTTTCAAGAATGAGAAAAAATAAAAAGTAATTTTCCCCACTCAAAAAATAAAATCCTAATGTTTTATTGGCCAAAATGTAAACTTACAAGAAATTTGGTTTTAGATTGTATTTTGCCCCATATACACTTCATAAATTGCCAAAAGTAAAATACTTTAAGTATTTAGAAGGAATATTACTTTAAATGGTGATTTTATTTAAATCTAGATTTGGTCAAGTTCAGGAAATGTGAACCCAAGCTCATTGGGACTATACTTCAATTCAAATATTCAAATGTAGTTATTTGTTTTTATCAAAATAACATATTTTCAGGGACATAAATTCCTTCTATGTGAATCTCTGAGCTCACTGGGACTATTCTTCAATTCAGATGCAGTTATTTGTTTTTACCAATATAACATGTTTTCAGAGACAAGTGTCAGTGTAAATTCCTTTAACGTGAGGCTTATAATATATCAAGCAACTGTTGTATAACGCATCCTACCGAGATCATGACACAGCCCTGCGATCTCCACACACAGAATATCCTTGTCAGTGATCATCAGGTCCGGCTGACGTCGCTGCAATGTCCGTGTCAGCTGCCCAGCCAGGTGGCAAACTCTGAAACAGGTTACACAGGTGCAGAGATGCCCATCCTACATGAAACTTTGGAGTAATTGTTCCATTAAAATATCATAATTTCTTTTCAAAAAGAGTGACATTAAAATATTATAATTTCTTTTCAAAAAGAGTGCCATGATGTGGCATTTTCATTAGGCTTTGACTAAAGGAAACAATTGGTCAAAGGTACCCAGATGTGTAAAATTCACCGTGTTACACGCATTAACCTTTTTTCATTAAGATTTGGAATTCTCAAGTTATACTATCGGACATGCAATTAGATCGCTGTCTGCATCCACAAAGGTCCTCTGATTAAATTATTTGCGCATCGTAAGCCATCCCTTTACCGAGGATGTTGGAACGCGTTTGCGACTGAGCGCCCAGCACGGCCCACACGTACGTTCGAATCGAATCATTCAATCTGCCGACACCGGCATGAGTAAACCCTTTCGAAGTGTCCAGCATGAACATTTTCCAATCGTCCTCGGGTCCCTGCTCAAACCTCCAAACGTGGTAATCCTTGCTGTCGTCGAAAGCCATGTAATCGTCGTTCCACTCGTTCGTCGTGACGTAATGATACGACTTGTAACCCCAATCTTTCACCAGCTGTTTGCTGGCTTTCGCTAGAGACATGTTTTGATTGATTGGAATGCCCAAACCGTTGTTCGGACCCTGCAAACGCCAATCGACTGTCTTCAGATCTAGTTCGAATTCATTGCAAACGCGTTCGTATGCACGTCGATTGTACGGATTGTTTACGGCATTCCACGCCTTGTCCTGCGGAATTGGGGTGCTGATTTTTTTCAAAATACGTCTGAACTGGTAGTACACATGAAACAAGAATACAGACCGACCCAGCGGACCACAACGAGTGTCATTCAACGTCACGCCACACCCCTTCGTCGCGCACCACACGGCAAAATTAAATTGATTCTGCCAGAACTGCATCGGGTTGTGGAACCAAGCATGTACCGTTTTCACATTCGTGACCGAAAACCTATACATTTCAAATAATCTATAAAACGAGCTTGAAAGTGGGAAACATCCTTTGCATCCACCACGATCTTCGGTTGCGTGAAATCATCAGCACTTATATTTTCACTTTTAGAATAAAACACTCCCGGTTTGTACATATTTTGAATTGTTATATTTTTTATTATTCATATCTACTTTTCAATATGTATGTGACGCTTCCAGGAATCACAAGTGGCGAAGTCATTTCAACTGCTGCACAAGATTGATAGCATGTCCGGGTCAGCTCGAAGTCGCTGGCCTCTCGCGATATCACCTACTACCCACGATGGACCAACATCAACGGCAAAACAACAAGCTGTTATGTCAATAACGTCCGCAACCAAATAACGGACGGATACTACAGCATGTGCTCGCTCAACGAAGAAACCTTCAAACCCGAAGAAATCTCAAAATGAACGACTCGAACGGCAGGGTCATGTTAGCCAACAACTGAAAAAAACACTTGAGACTCAGAAAGCCGTTGTCTAAAACGCTTCGGGTTTACATCGAACAACATACCACCGAAACCACCATGACAGGCGCGAAATTACCGATCATCTCGTCCGTGATCGCGAACTGTGCATTCATCTCGATCAGCTGTGCACAACCGACAACGTTCAAGGCGAATGACCTTCCACACAGCTGAGAGCCGTGCCGGTGAAAACGGAAAAGTACAACGACGGCAGAACCAAATCGTTTTCGTTGCGGCATTACAAGAAATTAATCCGAGGCAACATCACGGAATTGAAAATATCGGTTTTAGACGTTAAACACTATCCTGTAAGTATATGATATCTCAGCGTGACGCTACACGTACAAAAACAATGACGGAGTCTCATGGTCCAGGAACACGCGTTAGAAAATGTGCCAACATAGCAATCTCCGACCTCGGTGACACCCGCGGATTCGACGAACCCGGAGTCGATGGCAAACTGTACGCCTTGCAAGTGAAAAACAGCATTTACAAACGCGTCGAACTGCCACCCTCTGCTGGTGGCAAGAACAACGACCTAGACGATTTCGTCAATACTGAAGGAGCGGTCAACAACACTCGGTACGACCTGATACGCAACGATGAGGATGAATGGACGATAACCCCAGCCTTCCGCGGCAGGTTGTTCCACCTGGACGACGTCGAGACCATGGCCGTCTCAAGAAACACACACTACACTCTCATCTTCAACGACGACAACAAATGGGTATTAGTGCAATCCCAAATCGATTGGAATCTAAACATCACGCTCGGCTCTCCTTATGTTTTCACAGACAACAAAGATCACTACCTGACAAAAGTCGTGAACAACGGAACGCTGCTCGTGGCTTACATCCCAACACAAAGACGCGATGTTATCATCAGCGCGCTATCGCAAAAAGTAGCTCACATGCTGTCGAGCAAACCCGGGACGCAAACAGGGATTGCAGATGGTGTCGGAATTCGACGGCGTGGTAAACATCCTGGAAAATCTGCATCACAGCCAAGGCTTAGTGAGCATCCTTGATGATGTTAACGGTGTGAATATACGAGTAAACACAGTGCACTCAATTTTACCAATGTAAGTAGTGAGATGATGTACACAAGTATCAAACAGCTTCATTTACAATGGGGGGTTCGATTCACCACATGGGTACATTGTGTGAAGCCCATGTCTGGTATTGCTGGAATATTTGCTAAAAGCGGCTCACTCACCTAACAGTCATGGTGGTTGTAACAATAGGTAAAGATAGAAAGATTAAAATAAAAAAGTAGCAAAACATACCCGGTAGCCACAATTCCCTTAAGGTGAAGTAGAAAGATGAAGGTTGCGCAACTTCTCCCTAGGGGACTTATGTGACGGCTACCTTTCTCTCACCATGAGAGTGCCCCAATTCAGCTGAGTGCAGCTGATGTGATCCTGATTCCTTGCGACCACCAACGAAACACACGAAAGTTGCAAGGAACCCATTGAGGCAACGGTGGGATACGATCTAACAATGCATAGCTGCGCGACTACACATGCTAAATCCGCACCTCAACCGATTGAGCTACCAGGGACTTGATAGTTTACATTTCAGTCTAACAGGTATATCCTGAGATTGCATCATCATCCTAAGCTGGGCTCTGTCTATAGGAACGCAAAGGATGTCTTGAACCCGTTTTATAAGTTGAGCGCACCAGACTTCTAGAAACAGTTTATCACAAATTCTACTTCCGATTCACAGTTTGGTGGTTTTTGTACCTCCAATAAAATACAAAACACGATACTCCCAAGGAGTTTTAAACAACATGCCTATTGTGTATACTACTAACCTTATCCTATGCCATGTTCATATCAAACCATATTCTATGCCATGTTCATATCAAACCTTATTCTATGCCTATGTTCATATCAAACCATATTCTATGCCATCTTCATATCAAACCTTATCCTATGCCATGTTCATATCAAACCTTATCCTATGCCGTATGTTCATATCAAACAATATTCTATGCCATGTTCATATCAAACCATATTCTATGCCCTGTTCATATCAAACCTTATTCTATGCCATGTTCATATCAAACCTTATCATATTCCATGTTCATATCAACCTGACCCAATGCCATGTTCATATCAAACCTTGTTCTACGCCATGTTCATATCAAACCTTATTCTATGCCATGTTCATATCATACCTTATCCTATGCCATGTTCAAATCAAACCTTATTCTATGCCATGTTCATATCATACCTTATCCTATGCCATGTTCAAATCAAACCTTACCCAATACTATGTTCAAATCAAACCTTACCCCATGCTATGTTCAAATCAAACCTTACCCAATACTATGTTCAAATCAAACCTTATCCTATGCCATGTTTTAAATCAAACCTTTCCCAATACCAGGTTCAAATCAAACCTTACGGCTATGTTATGTTCAAATCAACCCTTACCCAAATCCATATTCAAAACAAACCTTACTGGATACCATGTTTCAAACCATACCTTACCAAATGCTATGTTCAAATCAAATCTTACCCAACACCATGTTCAAATCAAACCTTACCCAATATTATGTTCAAATCAAACCTTATTCTATGCCATATTCAAATCAAACCTTACTGGATACCAAGTTCAAATCAAACCTTACCCAATACCAAGTTCAAATCAAACCTTACCCAATATTATGTTCAAATCAAACCTTATTCTATGCCATGTTCAAAATCAAACCTTACCCTATGCTATGTTCAAATCAACCCCTTACCCAAATCCATATTCAAAACAAACCTTACTGGATATGCCATGTTCAAACCATACCTTACCAAATGCTATGTTAAAATCAAACCTTACCCAATACCAAGTTCAAATCAAATGCCTTACCCAACACCATGTTCAAATCAAACCTTACCCAACACCATGTTCAAATCAAACCTTATTCTATGCCATGTTCAAATCAAACCTTACCCAACACCATGTTCAAATCAAACCTTAGCCAACACCATGTTCAAATCAAACCTTACCCAACACCATGTTTCAAATCAAACCTTACCCAACACCATGTTCAAATCAAACCTTAGCCAACACCATGTTCAAATCAAACCTTACCCAACACCATGTTCAAATCAAACCTTACCCAACACCATGTTCAAATCAAACCTTACCCAACACCATGTTCAAATCAAACCTTAGCCAACACCATGTTCAAATCAAACCTTACCCAATGCCATGTTCAAATCAAACCTTACCCAACACCATGTTCAAATCAAACCTTAGCCAACACCATGTTCAAAATCAAACCTTACCCAACACCATGTTCAAATCAAACCTTACCCAACACCATGTTCAAATCAAACCTTACCCAACACCATGTTCAAATCAAACCTTACCCAACACCAAGTTCAAATCAAACCTTATTCTAACACCATGTTCAAATCAAACCTTACCCAACACCATCATTCCAAATCAAACCTTACCCAATATTATGTTCAAATCAAACCTTATTCAACACCGTGTTCAAATCAAACCTT